TTCCGCAGCCTCGACCTGCTGGGCTCCAGCGATCCTTCCGCCTCAGCCTTCCAGTAGCCGGAATTATAGGCATGCGCTACCACGCCCGGCTGATTTTTTGATTTATTGTAAAGATGAGGTCTCGCCTGCCCAGGCGGGTCTCGAACCTGCGGGCTCAGGCAATCCACTCACCTCAGCCTCCCAAAGGCGCGGGATTACAGGCTGAGCCACCGAGCCCGGCTGACTCCTTTTTTTTTTTTCCATTTTCTCTTTTTTACTTTTATTGATTTTAAAAATATATAGTTAGAGACAGGGTCTGGCTCTGTCACCCATGCTAGAGTGCAGAAGCCTGAAGATACCTCACTGCAGACTCAAATTCGTGGGATCAAATCATCTTCCTTCCTCATCCTTCCATGGAGCTGAGACTACAGGTGTGTGCCAACATGCCTAGTGAATTTGAAAAATTTGTTGTTTTTGTTGTGTTAGGATGTGGGCCTTTAATCGGTGCTTAATAATAATGGTACATTTGATCAATGTTTGTCTTTGTGAGTAAAGCAACTAAACAGTTTTCTAGAAGAAGATAAAGCAAACATGTTACAAAAATGAAAATGCAGAATTTAAATGAGTTGAATACCGTTGTACTTATGCAATTTATTCTTCTCATGCTTCTTTCCTTTTTTTTCTTTTCTTTTCTTTTTTTTTTTAATTTTAAAGATGTGGGGTACAATTCAGGGTTAGATATACAAAGGTTCATTATGTAGGTACCCTTGTTGATGAGGTGTGCCCCTCCCTCCCCTAGCCGTTTCCCTCAACTGCCAATCCCAACCCCCCTCCCATGGCAGTTTCCCACTACTGCCAATAGGTGACTTGTTTTTTTTTGTAATGATTCCATAAGACCCAGAACTGATGTAGCTCATAAAGCATTTGGATTTGTGGTACGCAAGCTTTTTTTTCTTCTTCTTCTTTCTTTTTTCTTTTTTTTTCGGAATCTCACTCTGTTGCCCAGGTTGGAGTGCAGGGACATGCTCATGGCCACCACAACTTCGACCTGCTGGGCTCAGGCAATCCTTCCACCTCAGCCTTTCAAGTAGCTAAAACCACAGGTGCACACCATCATGCCCAGCTAATTTTTTTTAAAAATGAGGTCTTGCAAGTTGCTGGTCTTGAACCCCTGGACTC